AGCGCGGTGAAAAGAAACCAAATGGCGCACAAGCAGCGCCTTCGGCAGACCGAGCGGAGAAGGTAGCGTCGCAGGAGCGAACGAAGGTCAAGTGTTTGAAGTATCAATCAAATTCGCATCGCGTGCGCAATCATCTGGGTCTCCGAGAGGCCCAGATCAAGCAGTTGATGGACGAGCACCATCAAGCACGTCGTCGGATGATCGGAGTATCGAGAGACACAACAACTAGCAGTATGGAGTGCCGGGAGTCAATCGAGGTTGTGCTACAGTAACACTGCCGCAAGTGTTGCTCGATTCTGGCTCCGATGAAACGGTAGTGTCGGAAGGTGTACTGCTGATGCTGCAGCGTCTTAATCCCGGCGTTGTAACGGGGCCAAAGTTGCGACTGCAGCCTTATGGGTGAAGCTCAAAGCCGCTTGAAGTTTTGCGGCTTGTTCAGTTCAAAACTGTGGCGTTAGAAACGCCAATTGGCCCCCTGGTGCTGCATTGATTTTTAACCTGGATTGAAGTATAGAGAATGGACATCGATGACCGTATTGGACATCCAATCCGATCATGGAACGACTGGGTTTTAAAATCTACGGTATGCTTGTGCACCCTGAAGCAACGGCGTATTTGGGACGTGGTAGACGTCACCGACGTTGGGAACACGTCGTCGACTATGCGATGTCTCCAGATGGCGTATCAGGAAGATCCTAAAGACGATGTCTACGCCGAGGGTGTGACGTGTTATATGCTAGGATGGAGAAGCTCGCTGATCAAGATGGCGAAATCCAGCGCATTCTGGATGGTATGATTACGGGGGCCGTGAAGTCTTGCCTCTCCGTAATTCAAGAATCTTAGCTTCAACGCATCCTCGAAAAACAAGTCGAGGACTTCCGTCTGGAATTTGTGTGCGAAATTTGCGCGTCGACGTCGAGCCAGCCGTTGAAAGTAGGGCCATATGAAGGCGCATTGCCAGTCAAGTGTGCATTGCGCCGGTACCCCCAGCCCACATGGATTATTTGAAGTAGCATGTGGAAGAGCTCGAGGCTGCGGACCTCGTCTACCGAAACAACTGGGCGGCAGTGCCGCGAATCGTCATCAAGAAGGCGCCGGGTGAGTATTGTATTACGATTGATTCTCGACCAATCAACTCGTGGACTATACCCATGCCGTGACCGATGCCGAATTTGGACCCCGTGATGGCGACTTTGGTTGGCACAAACGCGCGCGTACTTCACCTTGGACTGGCTCAAGAGGTATCGGCAGCTGCCACTGCACCCACCTTCCTGATGTGGTCTTCGTTTATGACCCCGTTTGGCGTCGACACGCCAACACGAATCCTGATGAACCAGATGGACGCTGTGGCCTACTGTCAGTCCTTCGTCAACGATATGTTCGGCACTGTTCGCCTGAGTTTTGGATTTGCTCGATGGCGTTTTGGGATATGCCGATGGCATCGACAAGCTGCTGACGCTGTTGGACAAAGTCCAAGGAATTGTTCATGTTCCGCCTCAAGCTGCATCCGAAGAAGTGTGATTTCTTCCGCAAGGAAGCAATGTGGTGTGGAAAAGAAATTCCGCAGATGACGTGTCTCTTCCCTGGATCGAGTCGCAAGGCCCGTGTGCGATGGAAGCGACAACGTCTGGTGCGGACCTGCAACAAATTGTCTACGCGACGACTTGAATGCACAGTTCCATCCCAAGTTACGTGGACCTGATCGATCCGCTGCGAAGAATTCTGGACGTTGCGGCGAAAGTGGCTGATGAATCGAAGAAGGCAGCGCTGACGTGTATCCAGCTCGATGCCGTTGGATGGGCGGGCGAACGCGACGAGTGCTTTGCAGCAGTAAAGAAAACGCTGCAACAAGTGGTGCCGTTGTCTCATCGATCTGCAGACAAGATTTTTTGCTTTATGCTGATGCGAGTAAGACGCATTGCGGAGAGGCATGCACTCATATCCCGAAGATTTCGGTCTTCTTGTCGAAGTACAACGACATGAGGTATTGGCGTTCCTGAGCGGTGGATTTGGCAGACCGAGTGCTCGGGTGGCCGACGGTGGAGGAAGCAGTGTTTGCGATCTTTGAATCGGGCAAAAGACTCGAGTACCTGCTGCTCAGGCAGCAAGGATTCCGTCTCTTCACGGACCACTGAACTCTGCTTTAGTGTACATTTTTAACCCACTGAGTTACAGCAGCAGCAATGATCCGCTATCAAGCTAACAAGCTACATCTGTGGGTCGTGGTTATGGCAACATTTCCCTGCACGTTCGAGCATGTGACGGGAGAAACGAACGTCTGGGCTGACCTGCTTAGTCGTTGGGGGTGCAGATCCGTTGGCGGTGCAGATCCGTTGGCTGCGCAAGTGTCTACAACTGATCGTTGTGTCGCCTTTACAAGACAAGGATTTTGCCTGGCAGATGGCGACGAAGATTCTGGACGTGTAGTTAACTGGTGGTTAGCAATTATGAATCATATCACCCTGTGGTGTCTGCGTTGCCTTTTGGAACGCGGGGTGCAGAACACCCTTATGCGATGTTGAAGCCGTTGCAGCAATCGACGACGCTGCAGGCTTGTCGTTTGTAGGAGGAACAAATATACAGGTTTAGTGATATTGTGAATCTGTCATGTTCGATTTGCTGTCAAAGAATGGGAACGGGATCAATGGAGTATGTGTTGTAATCGACGGACGAGTTGACATGGATGACGTAGTCATGTAGTGTATTCATGGTGACCTAGGTCGTATACTCTTGAACTTGACTTTTACAGTTGATTTGAGTGAGTTATGGCCAAATACGAAAGTCAGGACCATGAATTTTCAACCAAATCTGCTGCTTTTACATTCAACTTTGTATGCATATTCATACGTTTCAGATTAATTGAAATACTGTATTCAAGTACTGTTGTCCCAATGAGGTTGCCACGACATTTATAAATATAATTAATATTTGAAGTACAACGTGAAGGACAAGGAGTGCTCTGATTTTAAGGACAGGATATATTTGAGCGACGGCATCGCGTTCTTCAATAACGTGGCGAATCGTTTGTCGGCACTTTTTGCTGTCAAGTTCGTCCTTCGATATCTCCTCGGCAATTTCACGTATTGTGGTTCATAATACATCGTAATAACGACACGTTCAAGGACTCTCATCAAGAATGAAGCTACATCGATTTAACCAATTCTGACGAGCGGGATAAATTTCAAAGTTGGCGTTGAAACATAGAGGTATCAATTGTCGGCACAATTTTGACTTACATAATGTAATAAATTCAGTCAGATTTTGGAACATAGCTCTCACCAAATATTGCAAAATCAAAGGATTATAGTTATTCAGAGGCAATAGTTATCACAGAACTAACTTGAATTCAATGCATAAAGTTAGACTTGTCTATGTTGGAATTCAAATCTTGATTAGCCTCTAGTAAATTACATTTTCCCCGCAAATTCGTATTTAGAGTAATGTGTTGATAGGGGGTAAATTTTTAACCAATCAGTGAAATACTGGGCTCTGATATGCTCTTGAAATGGTGCTGACAGTTGGTACTGTGCCGAGGATTATTTCGCCACGCTACGAGAATATTCTTGCATTTGGGAATATTCCAAAAACTGCGAAAAGGGTAAAAACTCAAATCAACCATATCCTATCGGAGGCAGTAGCCTTTTTAAGGTGTTGTGACTGGAATAAAGGGGACCGACGATCCGAATTACATATAACTGCTGAAGTGGACTGATGTTTGACGTCTCCAGCGTCCCAAGCGATTGCAGCTTGCGGTTTGTCTGACGTGTCTGTCGGTCGTCTCGAGCATCGTATGTGATCTCGGCCCCGCACCGTCCGTGTGGTCGAGACGAAGCAGGTGTTTGCCATCTCAACCGTGCCTGGGGTGATTGGCGTGAATGACTTTGAGCTGGTGTCTGCGATCAGGAAGTGCCCGTGTGGGGCCGCCCTCCTTATGCAATAGAAGACAAAGCCAAGCTGTACCGCTGAAGGACAATCCGCTCTACTCTGAGGAGTAGCTGACCGATCATGTAGGTCTTGCTCGCGATAGCCAATTTGCAAGCGTCGAACATCGAGTATCGCGATCTGAAGCTCGAAAAAATGCGCTGACTGCCCACAGGAGCGTGGCATGCATCGACTTTAGTATCTCCAAGGGTGAAATGGACAAAGTGACGGGCATTGAGTCGTCGTTTGTGCTACTGCTTCCGTGATGGCTGCCTCCTGCGAATACTTGGCGCCAGAAATCATCGTGAAGCTGTGTTCCCGCGGGATCGTTGCCCACGAGAAGTACATTGCCCTCGTGGTGGTTCGGACACCGCCAGGTACAGTACGATACTGTAGGTATGGTCCGAAGTGTTTGTTCAAGCCGACCAGGCGAAGTGAAGCGGTTGGTAGTCAGTAGCTGGTAGCTCTAGCTCTAATCTAATGTACTTTTGCTTTTGCTTTATCGAAGACAGCGCTAGTCACCAGTCTCAGCTTGCTGCACACGAAGTGCGGTACTGGCTGCTGTCTTAATGGCGGCATGATTTGCGACCCATCGACGAACTTGATTACCTTGGACGCCATACTGTTTTGCTAAGGAGCAGTAGGTGAAGCCTCCTTTGAGGTACTTCTGTATGAACTTGATTACCTTGGACGCCATACTGTTTTGCTAAGGAGTAGTAGGTGAAGCCTCCTTTGAGGTACTTCTGTATGACCACGAGTTTCTTGGAAAGCGTGATGGACTTCTGTCTCGTCTTGCGCTCTCGAGCCATCGAGGGAAGGAAAAATGAAGTGACATGTGGCGGGAGGTCATTTCAAAATTTAAATTGCAAGGGGATTTTGGCCAATCCAGGACGACTAGTCGTGGGGAACTCGTTTTCGTTTTGTTGTAAAGCTGCATCTACCATATGGCGTTTTGGCCGACATTTTCGTAGGTGCAGGAATGCAGCAAATACGGTAGTCGCCGTCTGCAGAACTTTCACTGTTGTAGACTGATGAATCGCAAGTTTCAGCATTGCTTTCAACGGCCTGGAGATGCGTGTGTTGCACTTTTCCTTCAGCCACGTCCATGCAGTCTCGGATTCCTGACTCTGACAAGTTCTTGTAAGCACGTTTGAGCCGAGAACGAACGTCCGGAAAGGTTGCGTTGCTGGTGTAGTGACGGCCCACTTTGCCTTTTACTATCACCCACGCAATTACGATACGCTGAAGAATCGAGTGATGAGTGGTATGAATTCAATCACATGGCCATTTAGAAACGCCATTGCAACCACCTCGACGTCAACTTTGGCCTCTATATACAGCAACGACTTGTTCAAACTCGGACGTGTTCATGATGCCGGTTGCAAATTGACCTTTCATCAACTGCTACGGTTTGCTTGCATCGGTTGTCGTACGGACGTTTCAATTTGCTCGTTCCTGCACAGTCCCACTGGCACTCTGATCAACAAAGAAAGTACTCCTCTTGTGCTCTGGCCCCACCAATTGCAATGTTCTCCCACCCATGACCGTCCCTGCCGACCAATCGTCCGCCGTCGCTCGTGTGTCGCAAGTCGGCCATACCGATCCCTCTCGCTCGAGCTCTTGCCCTGCCTCTGGCCAGTCTGGCCAACCCCCAACGTCCTTTCGCGCTGTTGCCGGTCGGGTTCTTGCCCCTAGGGCCACGAAAGTGAGTGTTTAAGCTCCTCTGGAGCCTCTGGACCCACTGAACTCCCGGTCTGGCAATAGTCGTGCCCAGATGGATGGTTCGACCGCGTCGTTGCATGTCGCCGGCCATGAGGACTCACTCAACACCCGACCTGGACGTCATTGTGTCTTGTCTGAAACCCAACGCCTTCCATGACCATCCCCGATCGCGTTGTTGCCCCTAGAGCCACGAAAGTGAGTGGTCAAGCTCCTTTGGGGCCTCTGGATCCACTGAACAATCGATCGGGAGACGACATTTCAAAACAACTGCATCAGCAACTGCCATCCCGGACAAGGCTGAAGTCGACGTTAACTGGCGTGCCTCATGGTACAAAACTCAATCCAATGTTCGTTGCCGACCAACGGAAACCGAATTTACTGCGGCCATGCGAGCGCACCAAGCGGGCAACCTGTCCAATGTCGACCGTCATCTCGTAGCCACGGCATCGCTTCCTACACCAACTCCACCAGAAGAAAAGTCCAACGTGTTGATCGCGTGCAAGTCAGCGGTTGCCATCTTCCACTCCAAGTCATGCTCGCTAGCCTGGCGACGACCCACCAGCCGGCTACTTGGACGACAGCGAAGAGTGTTTGCCGCAACTTCATGCGAGTCAAGAATGTCGGAATTAGCTTCAATTGCACAGACCGCGACATGGTCACCAGACTGGCCGGATTGAAGTTCATGAGCTGTGGACGACCGTTTCCCATCCGGGAGTATTCAGAGTATTCGCATCTGTATTGGATCGACCTCACGTTGGCATCCGATACTCAACCCGATGACATATGGACGTACTTCGACGCGCGCGGGGAGCCACCAGTAATGATCAAGTCTACATTCGACAAGAACTCCATCCAATCCCGCCACATTACCGTGTATTTTTCTGCACGCGATCCCCTCAAGTGCCTGATGTTTGCGCCCAATGACCCAGTACGTGAACTTTTTGTACACGGGCCTGACTCTGCCCTGGCCTTTGTACAACATTGCATCGCGCGTTACAACAAAAGTGTATCCCCCAGCCTTCGCACAAAACGTCTGCATACACGCCAGGGCAACAACCAAGTGCCCAATTCAGCCACACCGATACATGATACCTTCAGCACCATTGAAACTGACTGTTTATCACCTCCTGCGAGCCCGGTCGACACTCCTATGGAATCCAGCACCCCATCAAGCGACTCTGAAGACGATCAGGACGATCCGATTTCTGAATATGACGATATGGGAAGATTTAGCTCCAGCGACGACTCTGACACTCCCCTTCGACCTCCTTACGAGACTCAACTTGACGATACCGCATCGCATGCGTCAACAACGGAATTCACGGTCCTGGTTCACCCACATTTCATTGATGCTGACTTCAACTGCTTGATACAAACGCACCCCGCTATGCCTGATGACTCGCCGCTCTGGTATCGAGCGCAACTCTCACATCGCTATACTTACAAGCCACCGACACCTATTGATCACTCCAACGCAGAGAGTATCGATGGCGATTCCTCTGGCCGCCATGGCACAGTCGCGCACTCATTTCCCAGCACATACAATATGTTTGCAGTACTTCAAGACGCCGAAGACAACTTCGATCCTTCCCCAGCTCCGTACAACATGACGGTTGCAGGGAATGCCAATTTATACGCCGCATACTGCCGATCGCATGCTGATCTTCAAGCCTACTCGACCATCAACACGGACTTGAATCCATGACAATCGGCGAACTCACCGACTACCTGGAACACTATGCCAACTGCTATCATGCGGAAGAAGACTCCAGAGCGGCCCTCGCGATGCTTCAAGCTAGCCCAAGTCACCTCGCTCCCCTTATTGATGTCCGGACACCCAAGAACATGTCGGTACTGCATGCCAAGCTCCCTGACCATGCTCTCCAACGATACATTCAAAGTCACACATATTTGGATTCGATCATCGCCGGTGTATAAGAGCAGTTGACTGCTACCATGCCGCAACCGCTTTGGGCATTTGGTTGGCCACACGCAGTCGGTCAACCTGAACCAACTAGCTTCATCCTATCTTCCATCGTTCCCAACAACGACAACTACCAGTTCATCCTTGCGCTAGCCCATTTCTGTCTCTTTCTCCAACTCAACCAGCCCGAAATCTGCTTCAACGCTCTCAAGGTTTCAGCTTTGGTTCAAGAAGCTTGTCGACGACATACCGGCAACCGCTGTCTCGCAACTCTTGAACTCGCACCACACTTCCTTTGGTCAGATGCCACCTTGTGTGCTTTAGCAGCGTCACCTTTGGGCGAGTACCTTATTCAACGCTCCAACGTTTCAACTTCCGTCCATCAAGCCATCTTACAACTGGCTGCATTCCATCCTATGGGCGTCTACATGGTTCCCTGCTACTCCGCTTATTCCGGACGCGTGGCAACTCCGTGGCGTCTCCATTACCGCCAACGGCATCAACCGACTGCACCGATCTCTCTTTTCAACACTGGCCAACAAGTTCTCTCTCATCGCTCTTCAAGAAACCAAGGGTCACCTCACCGTCCAACCTTCACAATGCCACACATTTCTGGCACAGCTCTGACTCCCTGGGAAGCGCGTTCTAGTCACATCATCACTCCCAGCTCTACAACGGACACAATGGAGTCGGACTACTACTGACCAACGCTTGCCCCATTCAGCACCCCGTCGACGTCACACCATCTTTCGTTTCCCATGCATCACCGCTCGTGAACCGATACCTGGTCGTCTCTGAACGACACACCAATCTACGTCCACATCATCTACGCACCTGCTCAACCCCACGAACGGCCCCGTTTTTATCAAGCCTTGCCGCGTGACTTCCCTGCCAACGCATTGCACGTTGTCTGTGGTGACTTCAACACGGTGCTTGGACCGCTCAACACAGACGCAACCACACCCCTAACGTCCGACGTATCACCCTCTCTCTCATGGATTGGCAGGTCGCCCTGCAACTGACGGACCCCTGGCGCATCCAAAACCCGACTGCCATGGAGTTCACCAGCCCACAATCGAACCAACGCATTGACATGGTCTCATGAGTTCCCACATGTTTGTCAACTATATCCGACATATACGCCATGCACATGGAATGAAGTGGCATCATTCAGACCATATTCCAATCATTTTTGACATCGCCACGCGCACTTGGTCACCGCATCATGTTGCCCAACCCTGGCGCTGTCCGGAGTGGCAATTGCAACTCCCACAAGTTCAAGACCTTTTACGCACCACCTTACAAGATCTCATGCACAAACTCGCAACACCCTCGCTGCCAAATTACAACCCGGGCTGCCTACTCGATGAACACAACCGCATCGACCAAGACCTTCACCAGGATGAACGCTGCACAAAAGAATTTCTCCGGCCGCCAAGTCACACACATTTACCCACACGCTTACCCCTTCGGACCAAGCAAGAATACGACGACACGGCGCAAAATTTCCGACGCTATTGGGCTCAAATCTTTCAAAGTCCGTCGTGCGACATTAACAGTCCTCGTCGACACATCAACAGATCACTTTTACGCTCGATTCTGGCGAAGACAACCAGTCGACTCACTATTACCCAGCGCCACGCCATGGAAGCACCGCTTACAGCCAATGACTTCTACTAAGCTCCAGGATCAGACGGACTACCCGTGGAATACTACCTTACAGATCCACACAACTGGGCACGAGTTCTTGAAGTTTGCTACAACAGCCAGCTTGACAAGCAACGCATGACCAAGTTTCAGCGACGGGCGCATCTATCCCTGCTTTACAAAAGCGGCCCAAGATTAAAGCCTGGCAACCATCGCCCACTCACTCTACTCAACGCTGATGCTAAGCTTGGCCCCAAGATTCTTTCGTACCGTATTGGCAAGGTTCTCCCCACCATCCTACATCCCGACCAACACGGCTTTGTTCCTGGCCGTTCGATTCAACAAGCCTTGTGGGAATTCACCACTTTACAACATTATTGCCAACTGAACACCAAACAAGCCGGCACAGTGCTTCTCGACTTTGCTGAAGTATTTGACAGCGTCCTCTGGAATGTTCTGGACATCGTGTTAGCTCATTTCAACTTTGGACATACCTTTCGAACGTGGAGCAAGACATTTTACTCCAATACGTTTATCTACATCCTTCTCAACGGTAGACCCTTGGCACCGTTCGAACTCGGCGCCGGAGTCCGCCAAGGTTATCTATTCTCTATCCCCTGGTATGTTTGTCCTTTTTATTGAGCCCATGTTGAACTATATCCGATCCAAGATGCCTGGAATATCTCTCAACTACATTAAGCCCAACATCGTTGCCTTTGCGGATGACTGCACAGGTATTCTTGCTGACCTTGCTGACACCTACAGATTTCTGGATCTTGTGGAATACTTTTGTCAAGGGACGGGCATGCAACTCAACCGCACCAAAACGCACATCATGCCGTTTTCACCATGACAAGACCAATCCCTCCCTACGGCCCTCCGCTCACTAGGAGTCAAAGTCACCCTCAACACCGGCCACTGCAACACCTTGGGAGTTTACTTCGGACCAGATCTATCCCAAGACCGCCAGCTCGATCATTTGCTTCCCCTGGTTCATCAGCGTTGCTTGCTTTGGCGCCATCGTGCTCGAACCATCCGAGGTAGGGTCGTGCTGCTCAGCGCAATGATCCTTCCACTGCTCTGGTACACTGCCTCCGTCACTTGCACGCCCCCAACAAGTCTAGATCACTTTCCCCCAATTCTGCTCGACTTTCTCAACCAAAAAACATCACCAGAACTACCAACACAAGCACAAGAAGGCATTTTCCCCGAAGAATGGTACACACTTCCGTGCTCAAAAGGTAGTCTTGGATTGCCAACGCTTCATGCCACTGTTCGCAGCCTTCAACTCAGTTTACTTGTGGGCGACTTCGACAAATACGCCGCAATCCCAGCATCACACCCAAATGGCTGTCGCCGGCGATCGCATTGTTCAGTCAGGCTCTGGGCGACTATGGCATAGGAATGGATATTCTCTATCTTCGACTCCAACAGCCAGTCAAGTACGGCCTTGGTCATTACGGACGCATTCTCGGTCCCTATCTTCATCAAATCTTCAGTACATGGAGTGAAGTGATCTTGCCGCCCCCCCTCACGACCATGCACTCGCTAGACCTCCACCACATCCCCCTCTGGGTCGCAGCTGGATGCACAACAGCCCAACGGCCTCTCAGATCACTCACACGCACAGCACACCTCTTCACGACCCTCAACTACCCGATTCTCCGACTCTGGGATGTCATTCAAGGCGACTCCGACATATCGCACGCCTTCACCGAGATGCTTCACTGGCTAGCACCTTCTCGCACAGCAGCAGCTGCAGGTCCAGCGGTTACAACACATCTGCAGCCTCTTTTCACGCGATTTCGACATGTCAGTTCGGCCCCCACTTCCAAGTCCATTAACATGCTGCCCACCACGACTGGACGATCGATCCCAAGACCCTGGAACTTACCACGCCCTTCACCATACGTAAAAGACTTCACCAGACCACGAGCACAACTATCCCTCTACCAAGACTTGGCATACATCGGCCGGTTCATTGGCACTGCGTGGCAACGCGAGATCTCCATGGACAAGTCTTTACTACCCGTTTTTCGAGACGTGAGATTCCGCCTCCATCACAATGCTTTGGGCTTCCTATACAAGTACGCCTGGCGTTCGGGCTCAACAACTTGTGTACACGGCTGCAACTCAACGGAAGATGCCAAACACTTGTTCTGGGACTGTCCACAAGCACAACGAGTATGGCAATACTATCTGGCACCGTTTGAAGACATCAGCGGCAAGCTACACTGGCAAGACATCCTGTTTACTGATTCCATCAGCATCAAGACAGAACACAAGACAACCTACCAAGACAGCTTCTTTTCCCTTCTGCGCTTCATCCAGGCAATTTGTTTCCGACAACTTTGGCTTCAACGCAACCTCCTTCTGTACGATGAAGCTTTTCCAGACTCGCTGGCACTCGGCGCCGAAGCTCAAGCGTACCTATGGCTTCACATACAAGCTTATCTCAAGCGTATCGAAGGCCCAGACAAGCGGAAACTTCACCGCTTTTGTTCACAACTGCTCCACGGCGGTCCACACTACCAAGCCTTCCTCCCAGACACTACTTACCTACACCGAACCGCCTGAACCAAGCCCAACCCAACCCAACACAACCTTCTGCCCGAGCGACAAGGTCACCAACCGCATCCCACCAACCGCAACAACCTCGTCCAGCTACCGCGTCACCGACCAAACCAACGTACTCACCGCTTTCGCTCAATGACAACGGACAACAATCACGCTTATTCGACTTGGAAGAATTTACACAAGATTATGCTCAACATCACTATACCTACTTCAACTACAAGCTTCTCAAGGTCAGCTACCAACTTGCATTCTTCACCGCCTGCTCCCTTGACAGCGCCGGCAGCCATCTTCGACACGACTCCTGAAGCACGATAACGTGGGCGTTTTTTGCTTACAAAATTTTGAGTAAAAAAGTCGCAGAAGCTGCCGCTTCCGCGATCAGGTCCACCAAGCCAAAGCTTTTACGCTTCAACTCGAAGACAACAACCTCAGCAACAGGTCAGCGCGCCCGCCAGTCCATTGCGTCAACAGTTGCGACTCCGATACCAAGACACACCATCAACACCAACTGGTCATGTTGTGGCGCGCAAGGCACACCAAGTTCATCCTATATATGGGGTACGACAACTTGAAAAGTCGCCAACTATTTAGGGCCCGTCTGGAAGCCACAAAATAACACGATATATCTCGATATTATGAGAAGAATAGTGATATGTCGAATATCGATATAATCCTGCGTTTGGAAGCCAATTGTGCGACAAAAACATCACGATATTCGTGATGATATATCCTGAAAAACGGTATATTGAATATACGACTTGAACTTGTATATTTTGCACATCATCAACATATTATGACCGCCTTTTTGCATTTCAAAAAAGAGAGACGAATCATTTGACAGAGCGTGCGCGCCATGAAGAAGA